TCAGATATTGTCCAAGATTAACCTTCAGGGTGGATATACCTCGCTCACACCGAGGACCTATCCACGTCATCATTTACCCAGAATGCTTTGTGTGGAAATAAAACGGCTCCGTCCGTGTTAAAATATATTTTAAAAATTTTACAAAACTGAACATCCTACAGTATTTTTACAGTCTTTATTTTACAGTTAAAATATATGTTTATCAAATAAAGTCAAATGTTACAACTAATTGTGGATCCCTTTGACTAGTATAAATGATCTCATTAATATTGATCCTAACCACTGAATAAGAATGGACATTTTTGAAACATTTGCTAAAATTCTTCATGACAAACTCTAAAAAAATAGAAGAAAAGGACAGTTTTGTTTCATTACATGTCACATGACGGTGCAAATTCAAAGACATAAATTAGTCCAGAAACCTGCATTTTAAAATGTTTTCGTTTGTTTAAATTAAGATAGGTTTGAGTTAGGATCGGAGCTTGAAGAATACAAAAATGTTTTTTTTTTCTATTAAACCTTTATTTTGTCAGAAAAATCCCATTTGAGATTAAACATCTCTTTTGCAAGAGAATCCTGGCTAAGACTGGCAGCGTTACACAGATGTTACAAAACAGTCACAGCAAAAACAGACTGATAGACCAATTAAAAGAATTCTCATTTAAAACATTTACAAACAGACTATTCTTTCCCAAAATCAGTAAGAACAGCCTTAAAAACATTTAGTGACAACAGCACTTTTAATTTCATGTATCTCTGCAACTGGTTCCAAAAAGATGGAGCAGAAAACTGAAATTATTTGTTTCCCATCAGTTCGGACTTTAGGCACCAAAATTAAACATTAATACTCACAATGAAGAGAATATCCTCCAGTGGACTTTCTATTTATATAGAACAACAAATAAAAGGTCCTAGGATGTCCTTATAAACAAAAATATGCCAATGACGGAGTCCACAAGTGGCCAAGGCCATCCATCCAACCCAGTTGTAATGTCGATACAAGGTCGTAATAAGGATAGAAATAACAACTTGTGTGTGTGTGTGTGTGTGTGTGTGTGTGTGTGTGTGTTTGTGTGTGTGTGTGTGTGTGTG